ACACCAATAACAGACTTAAAGAGAGCCAAATCAGGAACGAACTTCCATTCACAATTGCTACAAAGAGAATAAAATACCTAGGAATACAACTAACTAGGAGCGTAAAGGACCTCTTCAAGGAGAACTACAAGCCACTGCTCAACGAAATAAGAGAGGACACAAACAGATGGAGAAACATTCCATGTTCATGGTTAGGAAGAATCAATATTGTGAAAATGGCCATACTGCCCAAAATAATTTACAGATTCAACACTATCCCCATCAAGTTACCAATGACCTTCACAGAACTGGAAAAAACCACCTTAAACTTCATATGGAACCAAAAGGGAGCCCGCATAGCCAAGTCAATTCTAAGCAAAAAAAACAGTGGGAGGCATCACACTACCGGACTTCAAACTATACTACAAGGCTACAGTAATCAAAACAGCATGGTACTGGTACCAAAACAGAGATATAAAACAATGGAACAGAACAGAGGTCTTGGAGAAAACACAACACAACATATCTACAACCATCTGATCTTTGACAAACCTGACAAAAACAAGCAATGGGGAAAGGATTCCCTGTTTGATAAATGGTGTTGGGAAAACTGGCTAGCCATGTGCAGAAAGCAGAAACTGGACCCCTTCCTGACACCTTACACTAAAATTAACTCCAGATGGATTAAAGACTTAAACATAAGACCTAACACCATAAAAACCCTAGAAGAAAATCTAGGCAAAACCATTCAGGACATAGGTGTAGGCAAGGACTTCATAACTAAGGCACCAAAAGCATTGGCAACAAAAGCCAAAATAGACAAATGGGACCTAATCAAACTCCACAGCTTCTGTACAGCAAAAGAAACAGTCATTACAGTGAATCGGCAACCAACAGAATACCAAAAAATTTTTGCAGTTTACCCATCTGACAAAGGGCTGATATCCAGAATTTACAAAGAACTAAAACAGATTTACAAGAAAAAAACAAGCCCATTCAAAAGTGGGCAAAGGATATGAACAGATACTTTACAAAAGAAGACATACATGAGGCCAACAAACATATGAAAAAATGCTCATCATCACTGGTCATCAGAGAAATGCAAATCAAAACTACATTGAGATACCATCTCACGCCAGTTAGAATGGCGATCATTAAAAAATCTGGAGACAACAGATGCTGGAGAGGATGCGGAGAAATAGGAGCACTTTTACACTGTTGGTGGGAGTGTAAATTAGTTCAACCATTGTGGAAGACATTGTGGCGATTCCTCAAGGACCTAGAAATAGAAATTCCATTTGACCCAGCAATTCCATTACTGGGTATATATCCAAAGGATTATAAATCGTTCTATAAGGACACGTGCACATGAATGTTAATTGCAGCACTGTTTACAATAGCAAAGACCTGGAACCAACCCAAATGCCCATCGATGATAGACTGGACAGGGAAAATGTGGCACATATACACCATGGAATATTATGCAGATGTCAAAAATGATGAGTTTGTGTCCTTTGTAGGGACATGGATGAACCTGGAAACCATCATTCTCAGAAAACTGACAGAAGAGCAGAAGATCAAACACTGCATGTTTTCTCACTGGTGGGTGTTGAACAATGAGAACACATGGACACAGGGAGGGGAGCACTACACACTGGGGTCTGTTGGGGGGAAATAGGGGAGGGACGGTGGGGGGTGGGAAGTTGGACAGAGATAGCAAGGGGAGAGATGCCAGATGTAGGTGATGGGGAGGAAGGCAGCAAATCACACCGCCACGTGTGTACCTATGCAACAATCTTGCATGTTCTTCACATGTACCCCAAAACCTAAAATGCAATAAAATAAATAAATTGGGAAAAGAAAAAAAGCTATATAATGTGCACATATACACACAAAATTTAATGTATTTCATGTATTGATACAGTACTTGAATCTGACATCCATATTTTAATTTTGGATGACCTAATGTTCTTTTTTCTTTTTGAAAGGACATAAAATTTATTATTAGTTTCATGTAATTTAAGTGGATGTAACAGTCTTTTTTATTGTAAATATTTTGTCTCAACTGTTAAATCATATATCTTTATTTCTACATCTTCCTTCTTCTCTTTCACAGCTTTATTTAATTTTATAGATTTAACCATTTTATTTATAAATATATACACACACACATACACACACACACACTTTAAGTTCTGGGATACATGTGCAGAACATACAGGTTTGTTACATAGGTATACATGTGCCATGGTGGTTTGCTGCACCCATCAACCGGCCGTCTGGGTTTTAAGGCCTGCATGCATTACATGCTCTTACTTCCCTTGCCCCTGACTCCCCAATAATGTCCTTTATATCAGTGTTTTTCCCTTCAGTCGAGGTCAAGTGTTGTATTTAGTTATTTATTATCTTTTTAGTCTTTTAATCTGAAATATGTCCACAGCCTTTTAAAAAATGTTTTCTGACATCAACATTTTTGGGAGAATACAGTGTATCCCCCTCCTCCCATTCCAGGATTGGTCTGTTCCCCATTTTTCATTTATCTGATGTTTCATTATGGTTAGATTGAGGTAGGCATTCCTGACTAGAAAACTGCATAGCTGATACTGTGTCTCTCCAAGAATGTCTCATCTGGAAGCACATGGTGTCCATTTATCCCTCATTGGTGACATTATTTTTGGTGATCCAGTCAAGATTTCTTATCTGTGTTGTCTTTGTCTTCCCTTGCAACTAATATCTAACCTGTAAGGACATACGTAGCAACAGTACAAATACCCTCTTCCTCTTCAAAATTTCTCCTAAGATTTTGTGTCAATTGATGATTCTTGCATAATCTGAATCTTTTCTTGATGCTTGCAAAATGACAACTTTTAATTCTAGTACTTCCTGCATATTCATCAGTGAGCCTTGGCATTCTGCCAGCAAGAGAGTTCTCCTTCCTCTCCCGTTTGCGTTTTTACTATCAGTATAGACTCATGGATTTCTTTTTTCAGTGGTTTACAATTATTTAACTATTTTGTTGGTGAAATTATCCCACGTCAGGCCAGCGGGAGCCTCTCCAAGCTGTGTCCTGTGTCTTTGTGGCATGCTCCCATTTGTTTTTGCTCCTCACTCTCTAGTACAACAAGATGTTGCAGGTTCATCATGCACCTGCTCTGCCCAGTCCTGGAACTGGCCATTTTTCAGAGGAGCTTTGAGGAGCTTTTTAGTGGGGAATGGTATTAGAACCCAAGATCTAGGTGCAAGGTTACTGAGCTCGTTGTTACCGATGTCTTTGCCTCCTGCCTGTTTCAGTGTACAGAGCTAGAAAATACATTCCTGTATCCTGTGTGTACACATACGTATATACTAATACACATATATATATACAGACACACACACACGTACATTTAAATAGATGTGCACACAAACATAGGTTTGCTACGTTTCTAACCATGATTTTAAAATATTTTCTGAATGTAAATAATGTAGGGAATTATTTACATATAAGTTACACATTTAATTTTCAGGCAGATTTATTAGTGTTGCACCCATTTTATAAAAAGAGCTGGCTAAAGAGTAATTCATTCTCTCGCTCTCACTCTCTCTCTCTCCCCCTCCCTCTCTCTCCCCTCTCTCCCCTTCCCTCTTCCCCCCCTCTTCATTTTTTTTCTTTTCTTTCTTTTTTGAGATGAGAGTCTCACTCTGTTGCCTAAGCTGGGATGCGGTGACATGATCACAGCTCACTGTAGCTTCGACCTCCTGGGCTCCAGTGATCCTCCTACGTCAGTCCCCCTAGTAGGCTGGGACCACAGGCACGTGCCACCACGTCAGGCTATTTTTGTATTTTTGTTTTTTGTAGAGACAGGATTTCGCCATGTTGACCAGGCTGGTCTCAAGCTCCTGGGCTCAAGTAATGCACCCGACTCAGCCTCCCAAAGTGCTGGGATCGTAGGTGTTGGCCACCGTGCCTGGCCAGAGTAAATTGTTCTTATTAGATATGTATGGTCGTGTTCTCTGTTCCTTACATAATGGTTTTAGTTTGTTTATGAGACAGGGTCTCACTGTGTTTCCCAGGCTAGTCTCAAACTTCTAGGCTCAAGCAGTACTTCTACCATGGCCTCCGAGATAGCTGGAATTAATGCCACTTCGGCCAGCTAAATTTTTAAGTTTTAATTACTGAATTAGTATTACTGAGGTACTTGTGTTTCACTGTTAGGACTTGAGTTCTTGATATAATTCCAAGCATCATTTTTTATATAACTTACACAAATGTCTTTGTTTTCGTTAGTGGGAAAGAGTGGTACTGAATGTTTGAGCCTGTTGTAACATTATTTTAATATATAAGGAATTTTTAGTTTTTTTTTTCCATCAGATGTACTTATTTTAAATAGTTACAAAGGAGCAGAGTTTGAAACTTGCTATGTGAGAATCTTGTCATGATTCTTGACTAGAAGTTTGTAATTTAAAGATTTGTGAAAAAATACCACTAATATGAAAGTGGTGTGGTTTCCAGGTTATAAAAATTTCAGCTCTTGGCCGGGCGTGGTGGCTCACGCCTGTAATCTCAGCACTTTGGGAGGCCGAGGCAGGCGGATCACCTGAGGTCAGGAGTTCAAGACCAGCCTGGCCAACGTGGTGAAACCCTGTCTTTAAAAAAAAAAAAATTCAGCTTTTTAGAGGGCCTCAAAGCTAACCTCTATCTTGGGTACTATGCCTTGTACAATATAAGGCCAAGCCAGCCTCTGGCTGAGCATGCCGGAAAGGAGTTCATTATCTTATTTAACATCTCTGTGGAAGATGTGCAGTCTTCAGCTAGACCACTGGCTTCTGAGTAAGCTGTGTTAGACCTGGGCTAGACCTAAGGATTTATTATTGGTGGAGGGAAAGGAGTAGAAATATTTGAGGTTATTACATATTAGATTAGCTTCTAATGTGAACCATTTTTCTTTTACCAGTGGTAAATTATATTTCTGAAGTTAACTGTTTCTTTAGTCGGTTGTGATACACACTCATTAACAAACATACTGTTGCATTTTTTCCAGTTTTGTTTGGCTATGCCACCACAGTCATCCCCAGGGTCTATACATACTATGTTTCAACTGTGTTATTTGCCATTTTTGGCATTAGAATGCTGCGGGAAGGATTAAAGATGAGCCCTGATGAAGGTCAAGAGGAACTGGAAGAAGTTCAGGCTGAATTAAAGAAGAAAGATGAAGAAGTAAGCCATGGCACTGTTGATCTGGACCAAAAAGGCACTCAACTAGGAATAAACACTCTCCAGAGGGTTCTCAGTGGCCCCATCTGTGTGATATGCGTGGGCTACACAAAAGTAGCTTATTTTGCTTAGTTCTGGTCGTAGAGCTGTTTGTGATCTCATACGGGGTTGGTTTGAATGTAGTAGAGAAAGGAAGCTGAGAGATGAATCTTGAACACAGGTAATCAGTTTCCTTAGTTAGATTGAAAAGCAGGAGCTGTATTTTACAATTTTACATGTTAACTCCCATCGTGTCTAGGATAGTAAGTGGGCAGAGCAGTAAATACTGTGTGGTTTGTTCAGCTGAGGAGAAACAGAAGAATTGAGACTATAGCCTTTGTCTGCTGTGTGAGACCAGTGGTTCAGACAGGAGGTTTGGGGGTCACATAAACGTAGTTTCTTTGGAGCATATTTCATAGAATTTAAACATTTTAAAAAAGAAAAATCAAGTGATTTGTGTGCTATTTTGATTTGTTTCCTATGCTTACTTTCATTTGTTTATTATTTATTTTAGTTTCAACGAACCAAACTTTTAAATGGACCAGGAGATGTCGAAACAGGAACAAGCACAATAGTACCTCAGAAAAAGTGGTTGCATTTTATTTCACCGATTTTTGTTCAAGCTCTTACATTAACATTCTTAGCAGAATGGGGTGATCGCTCTCAATTAACTACGATTGTATTGGCAGCAAGAGAGGTAAGTGTATTTAAGAGAAGACTGTTTAAAGTGAAACGTAATTAATATTACTTTGTTCCAGAAAACACTGGATGTGGTCAGAGTGGGCCAAGGCATTCCTTCACGTGCTACACTATTTTACATCTGATAATTCTGCCACTCTGTAAAATTGGCCTTCTCCCAGTTGCTGCTCTCTGCAGATGAAATTCTTGTATCCAAGCTCAGTTAGGCTCCTTTCAATCATCCTCTTCCCATTGGTTTTGCCAAAATGATGCTGTGATACTTGTCATCTTGACTTGATTTTTTTTCTTATCATAAAACTTCTTTTTAAATAGTTGCTGAGAATATAAATCAGTATAATATTATTGAAGGTCATTTTGGTGTTAAATATCTAAAGCCTTAAAGATGTATAGCTAGCTGGGCATGGTGGTATGCCCCTGTAGTCCCAGCTACTCAGGAGGCTGAGGTGGGAGGATTGCTTGAGCCTGGGAGGTTGAGGTTGCAGTGAGCTGTGTTCATGCCACTACACTCCAGTCTGGGTGGCAGAGAGACCCTGTCTCAAAAAAAAAAAAAAAAAAAAGTGTATAGCTTTTAGTTAATCTGTTACACTAAAGAAATTGAGTGTTGTACAGACTACTTATAATTATTGCAGCTTAGTAGAAATTTGGAAACAGCCTAATAGTCCAGCAGAAAATTGGTTCAACTATTTACAGATCTCTGTATAGCTCTTAGAATATTCACTCTTCAACATCATTTCAGTGACATGGAGAAATTTTAAAAGGAGATTTACTTTTAAAATATAAAAAGAAGGCCAGGCGTGGTAGATCACACCTGTAATCCCAGCACTTTAGGAGGCCAAGGCGGGCAAATCACCTGAGGTTAGGAGTTCGAGACCAGCCTAGCCAACATGGTGAAAGCCCATCTCTACTAAAAATACGAAAAATTAGCTGAGTGTGGTGATGCGTGCCTGTAATCCCAGCTGCTCGGGAGGCTGAGGCAGGAGAATGGCTTGAACCTGGCAGGCGGAGGTTGCAGTGAGCCGAGATGCCACCACTGCACTCCAGCCTGGGCAACAGAATAAGACTCCATCTGGAAAAAAAAAAAAAGTTGAAGGCCAGGACTAAGATAGATGGGAAAGGCTATTTTGTCAGAGAAGCCTCAGAAATGCTGTATTTTGGGGGCAAAAAAGGAACTTTGATTTTCATTTGTTTCCTTTAAAACAAACTTTCTTTAAAAATATCACTTTAATTAGCTGGGCATGGTGGCAGCCACCTGTAATCCCAGCTACTAGGGAGGCTGAGATTTCAGTGAGCGGAGATCGTGCCACTGCTCTCCAGCCTAGGTGACAGAGTGAGACACTGTCTTAAAAAGTTATATATATGGCCGGGCGTGGTGTCTAACATCTGTAATCCCAGCACTTTGGGAGGCCAGAGAGGGTAGATCAGCTGAGATCAGGAGTTCTAGACCATCCTGGCCAACATGATGAAACCCCATGTCTACTAAAAATACAAAAAAATTAGCTGGGCATGGTGGCACATGCCTGTAGTCCCACCTACTCAGGAGGCTGAGGCAGGAGAATTGCTTGAACCCAGGAGGCAGAGATTGCAGTGAGCTGAGATCGAGCCACTGCACTACAGCCTGGGTGACGGTGCGAGACTCTATCTCAAAAATAAAACCAGTTATTTATCTATCTATATATAGAACTTTAATGGCTGTACTCTATATTCTTCTTTATTTCTGGCCTTTTATTGGCTTTCAGATTGCCAGAATTGGGACTCAAAAGTAAGTGACCGTTTTGTTGAGGTGTTAGTGGTTCTGCCAGGGTGAGTTATAACAGCAGAATCATTGCATTTTTCTCTCTTCCATATGGCATAGACTCTGTGCCATAGAGTGACTTGTGAAACGCTTGAGGTTCCCTACCTCTGAGACACCCTGGTTCATTCTAGCAGCATGGAACATGCTGACTAGGTTTGCGTCTCTTACTGTATAATCACATTACTGCGCCTCCTTCATCCAAAAATGGGGATTACCTGCTTTGTGGATTGTTTTGTAGATGAAATAACACACACTCAGTGTTAGCCACGCTTCCATACTAAGTGCAGTGTGGGGATATTTAATGAGCTCTTAAAGGGCAAAATGTTCTGTTTCCGTTCCCTTAGTATTTCTGCTTTTGTTGGTAAGTTTTCCTATGAACCATGCATCGTCTAGTTCAGGCCATTTTAGTGTGCAGTTTTGTTTTTGCTTCCAACATGGTTTAATGTTTCCAAGTTAGATTTCACATAATCCTAGTGTCCTTTGAGATGTGAATTGGTCCTAGGCCAAAAAAAGGTAAGGGGGAAGGAATATATTCAGAGTCAAATTTGGCAAATAACTTATCTCTGTTTTTATTTTTAAAGACTCAAGAGCTGGGTGTGGTGGCTTATGCCTGTAATCCCAGCACTTTGGGAGGCTGAGGCGAGTAGATCACCTGAGGTCAGGAGTTCGAGACCAGCCTGGCCAGCATGGTAAAACCCTTTCTCTACTTAAAATACAAAAATTAGCCAGGCGTGCTAGCACACGCCTGTAGTCCCAGGTACTCCAGAGGCTGAGGCAGGAGAATCGCCTGAACCTGGGAAGCAGAGGTTGCAGTGAGCCGAGATTGTGCCCACTGTACTCCAGTCTGGGTGACAAAGCAAGACTCCATCTTAAAAAAAAAAAGACTCAGTATACAGATAAATAAAGACTGAAATATCCTATATTAAAGCAACTAGTTTAATATCAGTTTATTTTACTTAATCTAGTGAATTAAAAAAATTTGTTTTTGAGACAGGGTCTAGCTCTGTCACCCAGACTGGAGTGCAGTGGCACGATCTCAGCTCACCTCAACCTGCACCTCCTGGGCTCAAGCCATCCTCCCATATCAGCACCCCCAGGTCTGGTACTATAGGTACCCGCCACACGCCTGGCTAATTTTTGTATTTTTTGTAGAGACGGGGTTTTGCCATGTTGCCCAGGCTTGTCTCGAACTCCTGAGCTGAAGCAATCTGTCCACCTTGGCCTCGCAGAGTGCTGAGATTACACCTGGCCTAAATATCACTTTCAACCATCTTCTTGGGTAGCAGTTTATAAGACACAAGTAGAATTTGGGAAATGTAGTCCTGCTCTTCCATTCTTCACAGTGGATGCTTCAACCAGTTTCCTCTTCGCGTACACACTGGCCAGCAGCGGGCCTTCCCTCCTTCGGAGCGGCGGCAGTTCCCTTTCTTCATTCCCACCCACACAGTGGCAGCCTCCTCTGCCCTCCTTTATTCTGAATCCCACCCTTATGATATGCTTCGATTTTGCCTTTCTCCAGCCCAGTTTTGTGAGCATTGTTAATGTGTACCAATTTTTTCTCATCCTTTCAAAAAGAAAAAGCCCCTTTCCTCAATTCTGCATCTCTACCAAATCCCACTCTTCCCTTCTTGCAGTGTCAGAGGGCTTGGCAGTGATGGGAATAAGCCTTGGCTCTGCTCTCCTTGCATACTTAGCTCAGGGAACCCAGTTTCTGGCCTCACCAGGAGTCTTGTGCTTTGAGCTCCCTGTGGCCTTCAGTGGTGCCTCCCTTGGTCCTCATAGGAGGTGATTGCCTGGCCACCTGACCTGCTGTCTCCTGTGGACCCTTCTTTCTCTGTCCTTTCTTGAATGCTGCCTTTGTCCCTCATGATTATGCCATCGACATTCTTCTCTCTCTGCTCTCTCTATAGCAGGATTATTGTCTTTTTTTTGTTTGTTTTTGAGACAGTGTCTTGCTCTGTCACTCAGGCTAGAGTGCAATGGCACAATCTTGGCTTGCTGCAACCTCTGCCTCCTAGATTCAAGTGATTCTCTTGCCTCAGCCTCCCAAATAGCTGGGATTAGAGGCATTGGCCACCAAACCTGGCTAGTTTTTGTATTTTTAGTAAAGATGGTGTTTTACTCTATTGGCCAGGCTGGTCTCAAATTCCTGACCTCAAGTGATCTGCCTGCATTGGCCTCCCAAAGTGCTGGGATTACAGATGTGAGCCACCACGCCCACCTAAATTCAATTGACTCTTAACTTTAAAAGTCACATTAGTCTTACCATAATTCATCCAAAGAATTGTGGGAGAGAAACTTGGGTGTCATGCTAGATTTTTTTTTTTTTTTTTTTTTTTTAATTAAGAGATGGAGTCTTGCTTTGTCACCCAGGATGGAGTCTGTAGTGCAGTAGTGTGATCATAGCTCACTGCAGCTTTGAACTCTCTTTTTTTTTTTTGAGACAGAGTTTCACTCTTGTTGCCCAGGCTGGAGTGCAATGGCGCATTCTTGGCTCACCGCAACCTCTGCCTTCAGGGTTCAGGCGATTCTCATCTCAGCCTCCCAAGTAGCTGGGATTACAGGCATGTGCTACCACGTCTGGCTAATTTTTTGTATTTTTAGTAGAGACAGGGTTTCACCATGTTGGCCTGGATGGTCTCGATCTCTTGACCTCGTGATCCACCTGCCTTGGCCTCCCAAAGTCTTGGGATTACAGGCATGAGCCTCTGCACCCAGCCAGCTTCGAACTCTGTAGCTGAAGCGATCCTCTCACCTCAGCCTCCTGAATAGCTGAAACTACATGCACAAACCACTGCACCATTATTTTATTTTATTTTTTTAAGAGACAGGATCTCGCTGTATTGCTCAGGCTAGTCTTGAACTCCAGGCCTCAAGCGACCCTTCTGCCTTAGCCTCCTGAGTGGCTGACTCCACAAGGCTTGGCTCTGATATTTTTTTCATAAAGCCTATTACTCATCTATCATGGAGGTATGTTAATTTTGCTTTCTTAATTTCTCTCAAATTCCCCTGCTTTTCTCTGCCTATGGTCATCCACCCTGATCCAGGCCAAGGCTATTTCTTCTAGGGCTGTTGCAATAGCATCCCAGTGGATACCCCTCCTCCATTCTAGTTCCCCTCCAGTTCTTTCTCTCCACTAGATGTTTAAAAAATTTTTGGGCCGGGCATGGTGGCTCACACCTGTAATCCAAGCTCTTTGGAGGCCAAGGCAGGTGGATCACCTGAGGTTGGGAGTTCAAGACCAGCCTGACCAATATGGTGAAACCCCATCTTTTAAAAAAAAAAAAAATTTTTTTTTTTTGAGACAGGAACTTGCTTTGTTGCCCAGGCTGGATAGTAATCACAGCTCACTGCAGCCACGACCTCCTGGGCTCATGTGATTCTCCCACCTCAGTCTCCTGAGCGGCTGGGACCAACTTGTGCTTGCTAGGATTCCCAGCTAATTTTTAAAATTTTGTTTGTAGAGAATAAGGTCTCACTATGTTGCCTAGGCTGGTCTCAAACTCCCAGGCTCAAGAAGTCCCCCTGCCTCAACCTCCCAAAGTGTTAGGATTACAGGCATGAGCCACTGCACTGCCCCACTGGACTTTTAAAGCATAAATCTGTTGTTACTTTCCAGCTAAAAACTAACAAATGTCTGAGGACAGTCTAAACTCCAAGTTGATAGGGTCCTCCCTAACCTGGGCTCCCACCTACCCTCATGACCTCCTTTTGTGAACTGGTCATGTGCCCTGCAGCTGGTTGTCTGGTACTGCTGGTTTTTGCTTTCTACTTAGCGTGTTCCTTCTCCCACCAAACAACATCACATTCCCACTTCCCCCTGCTTATTCTTCAGGGCTATCTTTTCTGGCAAACTTTGATCATATATATTCCCCTCTCCCTGAATCTGATTGCCTGCTTTGCTCAGTTGGCATGTGTTTACTGGATAAATCCTTTGTTCCTGGCACTGAGGCGAGGTTTCTGTTCGCAGGAAGCAGAGGCATGCTATCTGCAAAGGTTTGACTGAGTTTTCTCATAGTACCAAACAGTACCTGAGAGAACAGGTGTCTAGCTTACAATCCTCCCTAGCACTTGTCGTACCAGTGCTACGTATTGCCTGTGAAGGAACTTTAATAAATACTGAACGGTTCGGTTAGCTTTATTTCATCAGGATTATTTCAACTTTACTAATTGATGAGGGTTATTTCAACTTGTAGGTCTAGTCTTGTGTACATATTCCTTCAAGCGGCTGTTATACCTTTCATAAATTTATTATACACCTGAATTTTTATAACCATGCTTTTTAATTGTTGGCCTCCATTTTTAGTGCTTCTATATCGTTAGGTTCTCAAGCAGCGGTTGCCTTGGTTTTGAATTAATGCTGTGACACTTGCTTCCAGGACCCCTATGGTGTAGCCGTGGGTGGCACTGTGGGGCACTCCCTGTGCACGGGACTGGCAGTAATTGGAGGAAGAATGATAGCACAGAAAATCTCTGTCAGAACAGGTAAGTCTTTAAAATTACAAATCAAATACCATTTAACATTTTAGAATCACTGAGAGATTAAAGGGTATTAGCTTTCATGATTTAAATTTCTGCTTCTGAAGTATACTTGGTCTTTGTAATTACCTACCATCTCTTAGAGGTATTACTCCTGGCATTGCATATATGGACTTTTTCACCATCTATGCAATGTAGAAGTTAGCAAATACAACTACTAACCTTGTATAAGTTAGCAAAATACAAAGTCGTCTTTATTGAATTCATAGTAGCTTCTTGTCAACATATTATCTTAGTAAAACAACTGTCATGTGGAAGTATGAGAAATTTTTGGCTTTAAAAACGTGCCTTAGAAACTGGAATCCTATGTGGAGACCATATGTACTGATTCTGTTGAAAATGTCCTGTGAAGCTACAGTTAGGTCTAGTGATGGAAGAATTGTCTCTTGGCTAGTCAGAAGACTTGAACATTTTCTTTTACAACTGGATTTAAAAATGAGTTCCAGTTCTGCCATAGCTTGTCAGCACTCTCCGGATCTAGTACAATCCTGTTATTTCTCAAAACAGTGCTGGAGAAAAACCCGATTCTTAACTGTTCGGAGTCGAGCATATTAAGTGTTGTTCCTTGCTATGTAAAGGGGGTTGAAGTGATTCTAGTTTGTTTTCAAGGTTAGTTTACTAGATTGGAAGAGTGATTGGCCGCCTCATTGGCTCCCTTTTCATTTTGTACAGCATCAAGGTATAGGAATTTAGCAGTATTTGACTTTTTTTCTTCTCTCTTCCAGTGACAATCATAGGAGGCATCGTGTTTTTGGCGTTTGCATTTTCTGCATTATTTATAAGCCCTGATTCTGGTTTTTAACAAGCTATTTGTTCATCTGTATTTAGTTTAAAATAGGTAATGTTATCTTTCTGTACATAGTGTACATTACTACTAAAAGTGATGGAAAAATACTGTATTTTGTAGCATTGGTTTGTGAGTTAGACCCATTTAATGAAAATATTGTGTCTGAGATATAATCATTGATTTTATTTGTAACAAGGAGTTTTAAAAGAAACCTGACTTCTCAGTGTGGGTTTTTCTTCTCTCCAGCATAATTACGTTACTATGGTCCCCATATCTGTTTTGGTGCAGAGCCGTTGTGCAGTGGGGTCTGCCATGTGATTTTCTTTCAGCACTGACCCCTCTTTTAAGGAATACACATTCCCTCCTTGATGACTTAAATGTTTTAAGAGGTTTACCTTAACATTTTTCTCGGGGAAAGAACGAATTAATTTCTATTTTTTAAAACATTTCCCTGAGCCAGTAAGCAGTAGTTTAATCATCTGTCTTTTCAAAATTTGGTTGCTTTTATAAAATGAAAGAGACATATACAATATTACTGTTATATCAATAACATGGTACAACAAGAACTGTCTACCAGGTCATTCTACCTTTTTTTTTTTAATTGGGTAGGACACCCAATATAAAAACAGTCAATATTTGACAATGTGGAATTACCCAATTAAAAGAGAATACTATGAATGTATTCATATTTTTTCTATTACTGAATAAACAATGTAACATAGATACAATATAAATAAAAGTGGTATGACTAGTGCTTGTTTTTCCTTGTGTGTTATATATAATTACCAGTATTGACAGACCAATTTCTAAAGCTGATGTAAAAACACTGATAAATATTTGAGATATGCCTAAAGTAGCTAAGCAGGCGCCAGGCATTGTTGTCACCCTTACCGTTCTATGAGGTAGTAGGTACTAATGTAAGGTTAAAAAAGAAAAAAGTAACTCACCCAAGGTTATATGGTAGAGTCACACCAGGCTGTTTAATTCCAGAGTCTGACATCGATTCATTACGCTAAGAGTACCTCGTATTTTCGTAGCAATCTCAGTCGTCACTGTTATTTGAGTCTGTTCTGACTTGACTGCTACTCCACCCAAGTAGCATAACAGCTGCTTTCTCTCAGCCTTTTATATTCTAGAATCATAGGCAGTAACACTCCCATTAATAGCCTCTCTGAACTGCAGGACAATTTCTACAGGAACTTCCATGTCTTTTGTGTGACGTATAATAGGAGACCCAGAGCAAATGAGGTTTATGAGCTACTGCAAAGGTCCGACAATGTATAGTAGTTTGCAATTGGAAGAGATTGTGAAAGAACCCAGTTCATCACCCATCACTGCAGGACGCCAACAATTGTCCTACATGGTAACTGTGAGGAAGATAGATAGCTACTACTGTGAAAAGATCTAAGAGGGGTCCTCAGCTAAAAAGTAGCTTTTAAATGTCAAGTTAGAAGTAGCACATATTCATCAAAAAGGTCATATTTGTAAACTTCAGAGTTCTCTGCTATAAGAAGTGTGTATCATAGGGTAGAAAACATGTCTTTGAATTAAGATAAACTCTGTGGTTAGACACCCCTATGTTGCCTTAGATTATTATAAGGAATGAGGAATTCTCACTAATACAATTTTTCTAAAAACAGAAGAGACAGTCCTTGTCAAGAGTAGCTGGTACCGTCAAATCCTAACGTCAGTTCAGGTAGCTTGGTCCCAGTACTGGCTTCATATGTGAATAACAGCAATAACTGGCTTCATGCCACAATCTTGTGGCAGAACATAATTCCTCTCAGAATTTGGTAAGTCAGACCTAGGGCTACAAGGTGAAAATCGCTACTGCAATTAGGCTCCATTGTTGAATAAAAGAAAGGGAAATGTCATTGATAGTGATCTTAAAATATTTAATAGTCTTTCTTTAAAATCCAAAATGTGATTCTTACAAGTTATGTGCCACATGAAGCAGGTGTTATTTTTTGAGAAATGCAGGTGATACTGAAAAACAAAGCACTGAGGTATTTTTTATTTTTAAAATTGAAGAAGGAAACAAAGTCTGGATCTAATTATTTTTACATTTACAAAAAAACTGCTACTGCTTGGCTCTTCTGCTATAATTTTAGGTTCTGAATACATGACAAGAGTATGGGAAAGAGCAGAATAATATAGTACACGCAGTTTTAAAAGCTATGCACATCATAACCTGGAATAATGATTACACAGCAAGAGGCCTGAGTGGAGGTAGGCTAACAACACATTTTGACTTTTTCTCCTCAAAGGATAGCTTTGAAAAACAAGTGTAACAAATTGTTACACCAAATTAAAATGGCAATATTAAATCGGTAACAAAACGATCCACATATTTTATACAATACTGTATTTCCAAACATACATAGGTCATGAAAATCAGAGAACCAAATATAGCACCGTTGAAACCATTCAATATCCCTCATGTGTCTATGCAATTTAGAATTTTGGCAGAAGACAACACCTGGAAAATGTCAGTTTCAATCTCTGTACATCAGTTTGGATTTCAATTAAATGTTTGTCTTAGTAAAAGATATTCTTATTTCAAGATCAATTAGCCATTTTTAGCTCCACCGTTTTGGAAGTAGAAATGATGGGCTACATCTACTTTTTAATTTAAAACCAAGAACCAAGCAGTAAGGACAGCAATGTCAAGAATATCACATTGAGAACCACACAGAACATTTTTATAAAGATTTTGGTGCATGTTTTTTACAACTACCAACTGAGGTTAACAATGAAAAGTTTACAAAGATAAAAAGTTTTTGTGTTTTTTTGCACTGACTGGTTTCAATACAGCACGGAATTTAAAAACTCATCTTTGGGCTTCAATCTTTACATAGAGTGAATATGAAAGTGCCATACTGAGGCCTTCCCCAACTTATACCATGGTAAAGATTTCAAAATCATTCTAGAATGGTCTAAATGATAGCTGTTCTGGCTGACATATCTTTTTGTTTGTTTGTTTGTTTTTAAAAAAGACATTTCGTGGCCAGTTTTTTTGCTTGAAGATGATTGGTTATACAAGACATCAATCTGAAGGTAACCACTTATTTTAACTTCTTAGCACTGGCACAACCATTGCCAGAAGTGAACTTGTGCTAGTCCAAGCCAACTCAAAAACACACATTATAAACATCTGAATGTCACTTTTAAAAGCGATGTCACAGTTTGTTTTCTAAGAAATTTAAAAGCATTTACTTGAAAACATTGTATCTTCAATTTAACCCTCAGAGTTAAGAAATATTTTTTAGATTATTAAATTCAATTGTGGTTGACGTGCTTTAATTACCATTCTTTAAGTTGTGTGCTGTACCTGGCCTGTGGGACTCCATAGCTTCTCTGAGTCCTAAAGGTAGAGGATTCTGTTCCAATGCATGTGAGTAAGACGGATCCTCAAATGTCTAGGCTTCCAATATTCCAGCACTGCTTTATCGGGCAGTGCTGCGTATGGAAATTTTATTTTGTTTTCAAAGGACCAAGCAACGTGACACTATATTAAAGACAGCAAACATTTTTTGTAGAATTTTTCAGTCTGTATACATTATTCCACCAAATTTAAGAACTTTAAATGGATTTTAATATGGATATGATAGTGGCAGCCATTAAAAGATGCTATTTCTTTTACTAATGTTTTTCCCAAATGGGCAAAATAGAGGGATTGTGTGCCCGTCACACTGGCCTTTGGCTGTGTTGGGGAAGTAATCATACAAAAAGTGCCCATAAAACAGAGAAGGCAGCAAGTGAAACGAGAAAAAGGTTGGAACCATATGAAGCAGATTTGAAAGGAGTATTTTTAAAATTCTCTCTTACATGACTTGAAGACAGGAGGGAAGTGCAGGGGCATCTGGAGTTGGGCCCTCCACTGCCGTCCTGAAGTAAAGCAGATTCAAACTGTCCGTAAAGATTATCGTGAGGGTTAGTGACTGACTGCAACCCAAATCAGACCCAGTTCTCTAAGAAGATTATGGTGCAAAACAAAACAAACCACAAATTAAATACATGACACTGAAATCACTTTGATGAGAAAACAGAACACACATTTTAAAATATAAATAAATACATTTAGCCATTTTTATTCAAGAACCCAGAGAACTGCTTTCAAAGCAAATGCTTCTTTGAACCCCTTTCTAAATTCTTTCATAAATACTTACTAGTTTGATTGTCACTTAATGCAGCACCTCAGTGTTTGCTGGTGGTGGTGATGGAATTTCACGTAATAGTCTCTCCATAAATTATATCCTATTCCACTAAATAATGTTTCCCTGAGGAAACCCAAGCAGCTTACAAAATACTGCTGAACACTCACAACAAAACCTGTGAAGTATTTTATTTAAGAAAAAAAAAAAAAAAGGAATGTAGTGTTATGACACGGGAAAAAAACTATGCGAAACAGTCACATGGAAAGAATTTTAATTTTTAAAATCCAAGTTTGTTTAATTTCTTGTGAACTGTTCAACATTGTTTTAAATATCCTGAATAACTGTACCAACAAAATTCATCCCCAGTGTTTCCACAGGAGACATTAAAAATCAAATTATACTTTTTTTCCTCTGACCAAAGTAGTCTTTTTCTCAGTCCTTTTTGTGCAAAAATAGTACAAGAGCAATTCAAATGGAAACGCTGAAATGACATGCCAACATTTCAGGGCACATTTAAAACACTCAGAATAATTCTTGAAATTATTATATTCTAAAATATTACTAGCAGTCACTTTTAGATTAGTTCTGTACATCTACTCAAACGGATGCAATTTTCCTAGACCTCTGAAAAATAAACAGGCTCATTGGTCTCTTTTGGTGTCCACACAATAGGCAAGATAGGTTTACAATAGTGTTTAAATCAAACTAGGCATCTATAATCTCCTGACTCCACCACATTCAAAACAAAAGTCAAAGTTCATTTGGCTGTCTTGAAATCACTCCCATAAACCAACTACGGTTCACCGGATCTAAACATTTCTCAGAAATGTGTCATTTTATATAATTTCACCTAAGTGATGATTTGGGGATCCTTTAGAAATGGTTAACGCCTAAGAACTTTATCAAAATGAGTAATTGAAATAAAGTGCTTGTTATATTTCAAAATGATGCTTTTAGACTGGTATGTTTGTTTTAAAGGTGTGTGCTATTCCTTCCATAAAGGATCCCCAGGCATGAGAGTTGGGTCTTCTCACCTGTCTCATAAAGCAGCAGCACTATCTTTTGGTAGGCTGACAATAGGCACATTACCCATGCGGATGAGGCTATACTAGTGCTATGGCAAAAGGGGAAGTAAATTAGAAAAGTGGGAGGCATGTAGAGGGTTCCTATTATACTCAGTTATATACAAATATATTAAATATACTATAAAAATAGTCGATTCTATTCCTTTGCAATTACTTCAGAAGCTCCTTTTAGAAGAATGCTCACCCAATCCAAACTTAAAAGGTTCTCTTTCTCCAAACACTTAAAATGGCAAGTGCCTTTGTGCTGTTTCTTCTCTACCATTCAAAAATTCCAATCAGCTTACTCCTGGCTATATTCACTCAGCAACATTAATATCCAGTGTTAACCCCTTCCAACAGGGACTCCTGTGGGATTAAGACAGGGCCACAGGTAATTGGAAAGGTTATAGACTTGAATGAGTTTTACACAAATATTCATCAACAAACTTTCAATTACCAAAGAAACAGAAAAAAGAAATACTAAGGTAAAATGCTATATGCATTCCACTTTTAAAAAGTTTGCCTCAATGTAGTGGAAACATTTTAAAACATGTTGAGTAATATCCAGTTTAAAAGAATTTTCACTTGTCTGCGTAGAGTACTTACTATTTTAAGGTCCCTTTCTAAGGCTTCTTGAACAAGGCTTCTTCTCCCTTCAACAAAGTGCTCTTCATAGAGCTGGACTGCTGCAGTGCTCCTAACGTCAAGCAGACTGCTTTAAGGCAATGACCAACAACTATAGCACTCCTAAAGAATCCAAACATTTTCACTATTCTACACTGAACATTCTATAACAAACTATTCAAAATCACTGGCATCTTTTTATTACTAATACATTCCTAAGCCAGATATAAATGACAACGGAGAGCACAGCACTCTCAAGTTACTCCCAGAATTTGGGATGCTCGGAGGCTAGACCACACTATTTACTCACATGCTACCTGCATCTCCCACACTTGTTCCTCCAATATGTTCCATTAAAAAAGTGGAGTACTTTTTAAGTGTCTGGGTTCTGGTTTGACACCACTCTCAGGAGCCACTTCATTAACACTTGTAGTTCTCACTTGCATTTGTTAAGCAATACTGACTCCCCCAATACCATAACTCCCAAGTCCAAAGCATGGTAACTGCAGAGTAGCTAGCATTTTTTATGAACCTCAATGGTTTCTTACCTAAAAAGTACCACCCAGAATAAATGTTTTTAAGAAAAATGAATATCTGAGAGTAAAGCAGAGGGAAGACTTTTTTTTTTTCTTTTTTTTCTTTTGTTTTAAAGAAGCTGGAAGGTGTTTCTATTTGGTATCTTTAAATCACAGGTTAGGGATTTTAACTTACAGCTTTGGCTATAGACATGAATGAAGAACAGACACTGCTGAATCTTCACTTGAATGCTCAAGTTTCATGGGGTGGGGTGGGGGGGATAGCTTTGCAACCCAAATTTAAGAGAAGCAGGAGGAAAACAAACAGCATTTAAGAGGCTGCTTTCCACCATTTCAGACTGACAGAAAAGCAGCTAGCTGCTCCTTTAAATTAGCAATGGTTAATTCCAAGCAGAAAAAAAGATGAGCTATGAAGAGCAGTAAGAATTATAAAGGAAAGATGTAATTTTCCCCCCCAACTATTTGCGGAGATGGGAAATACTTGAAGGGACTGGGGTAGGACAACGTGAGTAAACAGTTTATATGTTTACCTGGGGCTTGTCTTATGCTTTGCTGCTGCCAGCCTAACTATGTAGTACTCACAGTTTTTTTAAGTATAATATGTAGAGGACAGGCCTTAATGTAATTTTTTTCATTTCTTTTGTTAGCTAAATCCATATCACTAGGTATTGCCAATTAACAAATGAGGCACAACTCAGATATATATGGAATGGCTTAAGGTCAAGAAAGGCAATTTGAAAGGGGAGAGAAACAACGCTATTGCCATATCCTACAACATCCACCTTGTCTATATGTGCATATGGTCACATACATACATTTTCTGACAACTATTCTTGATATTCATGGGAATGTCGGAAATCTCCACTGGATGGTCACTTAGCTACAAGAGCTCCTTGATATGTTAATTACTGATTGGTATCTAGTCACACTTTTGTAGAAGGGTAAGTAGCAATTTTCTTTGGCTTTTTTCTTTTTCAACATTAATGTTCAAATTAATTGTGGCCAGGTAGAATTTTCTGCAGAAAGACAAAGTGTATGCCTTAAGGATAACAGCAAAGCAGAGGACAGAGAAGTCCTGCGAACTGGCTTAGTGTTCCCCTGACCTCTTTACCTAGCAATTCTGCATTAGGTTATTTTCATCATTCAGAACCTTTTCTGTTGAACAACCTAAACTCTGTTATACATTTTCTTTTGAGATCAATTTTGATTTATTACACTTGTCCTTCCTCTCCTCAGTAATAACATTTTTTATATTCTAATAAGGTATTTTCTACTTATTTTTTGTTCTATCACTATAAATTTTATTAGTACCATAAAATCTATAAAATGCTTTTTAAAACGTATGTAACTGGTATTAGAATTTATTACTTTTAGAATATGATATTGCCAAAGGAAATCTTAGTTCACGTTTAGAAGGCATGTGAGTTACAATATTCTAGTGTTGTAGTGAAAGCATAGCCAAATCTACCTCTTCTTTTTTCTTTGTAGGAATATCAAGATCATACTGAGCAAATATTTACTGGTAATTCTTAAATGACTATTTAAAGAAAAATGCTGATTTAGGAAACAATTTTAAGATCACATTAATAACTATGACA